GTATGTATGTACGTATGTATGTAAGGATGGACGGACGTGCGGATGTAGAAAGGCAGCTAGGTAGTTAGGCAGGTATGTACATATGCAGTCACACATATGTGTAGGTATGTATATCTATATGTTTGTGTACATTGTCTATGTCTTTTTTATTATATGTTGTAGACGCGTATGTATAAATAACTATATATATATATATATATATATTTATGTATGTTTGTATATGGGTGTGTGTGTATGTACATGTATGGGTGTATATGTGTGTGTATTTGCATGTGCATGTGCATGTGTATGTATGTATGTATNNTGTATGCATGCATGCATGTATGTGTGGATGTGTATATTTATATAAACCTACAATACCATAAGCACGTGTACATACACACATACATACATACATACATACATACATACATACATACATACATACATACATACATACATATGTACACACATAGATACCTATACATATACACGTGCCCATGCGTTATCGGGTTTGTTCGGGTGTCGTCCAGACAACTAATTCCTTTGTGTGCAAGGTTATGCCTTTGAGCATGTTCGTTGTATCCCTGAGCTGTTCAGGTAGGTAGGTAGGTAGGTAGGTAGGTAGGTAGGTAGGTAGGTAGGTAGGTAGGTAGGTAAGTAGGTAGGTAGGTAGGTAGGTAGGTAGGTAGATAGGTACGTAGGTAGGTAGGTAGGTAGGTAGGTAGGTAGGTAGGTAGGTAGGTAGGTAGGTAGGTACGTAGATAGATAGGTAGATAGATAGATAGCCGATAGATAGCAGCTAGATAGATAGACAAACCGATAGACAGATAGAGAGATAGACTGATAGTTGGGGTAGACAGAGACAGGTAGACAGGTAGATAGTTAGGTAGCTATTAAGCCCGGGAACATAGCTATATTCAATGCTATAGCCCCTAATCCGTTTTGGAAATTGCCCCTACTGTAGACTAAGCATACACGCGGACCCTTACTGTCAGGACCCTCTAGAAATTGAAGCCCTGCAAGAAGTGTCTAAGCCCCTTATGACTCTAGAAATCTTGTACAGCAGTAAACGCTGTTGGAAATCTGAATTCCAGCGACTCGCCAGGTAGTGGCCCATGCAGTGCTTCATCCGGGCTCGGCTGAGGCTAGATATAGTAGGGCCGAAGGTTGAGTGTAGGGTTGAGGCATTTGGGGTTGAAGGTGACGGGCTCAGTGTTCGGGGTTGATGGTAAAAGGCTTTAGGGTAGGGTTTCGGGTTGAGTGGTCAGGGTCTTGGGGCCAAGGGATTTAAGGGTATAGGGCTGTGGGGTGCAGGGTTTACGGAGACAGCATGGATAGTGCTCATGTCCAAACACTGCAGAGCGCGGTAGCAATGCGGAGCCCTAGGCCACGCTGCTGGATGCTGCTGGCAAACCCTACCTATAGTCTCCATTGTAGTTCCTTTTTGGGGATACCTTATAAAATCCTTAATATATATTTGGTTAAACCAAAAAAAGGAACTACAATGGAGACTATAGGTAGGCCTTAAACCCGGACCAGCATCCTCGCCAGGCTTGTGCCAGTCCTCAGTGCTGAGACCCGAAACCTGACATCCCGTATAGTCTGTTGCTTACAGGAAATTATACACCAGAATCCCTTTCCCGTTATTACTTAAGCCCTAAACCCTAAACCCTAAACCCTAAACCCAGAAGGGCAGGCTCGGTCCTGCTCCCAGGTTGGAAACTTTGATGCGATCGACCAGGAGATGAACCAGCAGGGATTTGTGCACTTCCCCAAAGGGTCCACCCATAGACTCCAATACCCCTTAATTAAGGAATATACCTTAAATCTTATTAGGGATCCTACTATAATTTAAGGTATATTCCTTAATTAAGGGGTATTGGAGTCTCTGGGCAATGCACCCATACAGCAGAAAGCAGGGTTTCCATAGTAGGAATTGCTATTAAATAGTCTATTATGATTTAGGGAAGTAACCCCCATAACAGTACATAGGACCCTTTGGGTTCTGCTTCCTGGAGTGACAGCATCTGGCTCGCTTTTGGTCCATGGTCTGCCTTTTTCAGAAAGAAATCCCAAACCGTAAACCTCTTCAGACCCTACAAAGTCGAACCTAAAACCTTTCAGCGCGTTGGCAGCTAAAAGCGCCTAGCTGTCCTCAGAAGGCATAGGGCACCGGAATATGAGGGCCAGAATAGTATGGGGGCGTAAATAATTGCCTACACTATTTTGGGGGTGGCCCCTTATAATTATAACTTTAGTATGATATATCCCAAAATCCTATTCTAATTATTAAGGCCGCTACCTTTATTAGAATGGAATTTCGTTGGGTGAGCATATTACAGCAGACGTCTAACGAGGAGCCCCCGGGCATAGTGACTAGAAGTATTGAGGCCTTAACAATTAGAATAGGGTTTTGGGAGTTTTGGGGGTTTTGGGGTATGTTATACGCTAATTAGAAAAAGGAATCCCCGAAATAAGAAAAGGCGATTATTAAGGACCCCCAAAAGCCCTGTTTGGCTTCAGCGCTGTTGAAGAGGACGAGCTGTGAACATCCTGACCGGGAGTGAGCATGACAAAGACAGTCTCGAAGATGAAATGAGCGGGAGAAAAGCAAGACAAGCTGCCGAGCACATTGACATTGAAACCTAAAACCCTAAGCAAGTCTAAAACCCCTTAACCCTATAGCCAAAAGCCCCTAAACCCTAAACTCTATACTGATGTGCAATCTCTCAGACGTCAATGTACCCTGCAATGCGGGCTTGTCCTTGCTAAGTGGGAGGCAAAAAAATACCCTAGAACACCTAAACCCCTAAACCCTAAAGCCCCTAAACCCCGCATACTCTAACACCCCTAAAGCCCCTAAAGCCCCTAAACCCCTAAACCCCATACCCTAAAACCCCTAAACCCTACATACCCTAAAACCCCTAAACCCCTAAACCCTACATACCCTAAAACCCCTAAACCCCTAAACTCCTAAACTCCTAAACCCCTAAACCCCTAAACCCCATACCCTAAAACCCCTAAACCCCGAAACCCTTAAACCCTTAAGCCCTACATACCCTAAAACCCCTAAACCCCTAAACCCTATACCCTAAAACCCAATCATCGAAACCCGCGGGTCGACATCATCGGGGTTCAGACTTTGGGAGATAGCTGGGGCACGCGGGTTGGGCACCAGGAAAGCATCCTTTCGAAACGAAGGTTGAGCGTTTAGGTTCTGGCATACCCAGAGAACCCCATACCCCTTAATTTAGGGATATACCTTGAATCATAATATTAAGGCCCCTATAAGTTAAGGTATCTTGCTTAATTAAGGTGTATTGGCTTCTCTGGTATGCATAGTCCAGGTGTAAACGGGTTTAGGGCCATGAGGATTGTACTTATCATGTTGCTTAGGGACAAGTCTCTGCATTATGCAAGTTTCCTCAACAACGGGAATGATGGCATATCCCTCATGCTGCAAAATGCAGGACATCCTCCCACCGCACTGAGTAGCCCCAAAATCCCTGCACGCCATACGATGAAAGCACGCGGACCTGACGAGCAGACCTGTCCTAAATGGGGGCCTGAATTATTACCGATACTATTATTGTTGAAGTTCCTTTCTATAAGCATAGTAGAATGGGCCCCATAACCCTATTCTAATTATGAAGGCCCCTACATTATACTTATAGGAGTCTATAGGTCTCCCAGGGAGCCGTTTGTCCCATTTTGTGATCTTAGAGTCCTTATACTATCCGATACCAAAGAAGGCCCCTAAACCCTAAACCCTAAACCCTAAACCCTAAACCCTAAACCCTGAACCCCTAAAAGGGGGCTGTGCCTGGGATGCTGGGGATCCTCCGAGTGGCCCAACTTGCTTGCCGGCCTCCCTTGGCGTCGGCCCGAAGCCAAACTTCGTAGCAGAGTGAATCACCGTAAGCTTTAGTCTTTTTTGGTTCTTATAAATAATCCTTATATAATCCCAAAAGTTATCCTTGAGTTCTTTCAGGATACCGGACACGTCAGCAAACACACATTCCACGGATCCAAGTCGGTAGGAAGGCATAGGATGAATGTGTTTATGTGGGTCAGAAGCCTTACCAACTGTCCTTCTCTTCTTCAACGGGCCTCACCTTTAGGTTTGCAGTCTCCGTATTCCCGAGAATCATCTCATGTGTTGTAGCTTGAGTGTGGGACTTCGTACATGGACCTTGATGCGAGGTAGCTCTTGTGACACACCGCTTCGATCTTGAAGTAGCTAGTGGCACCGATATGGTTTTTACACGGTCACAAGCAGCGAGGAGGTCAGAACGTATCCTCCGCACTAGATCTTCAAGATTGTTTCCCGGCCCGTGGATGTCCTCTTGAGAGAGGAAGACGAGGTGCTGAACTTCAAGATCAACGAGCTACGGGGCCTGGGAGAAGGTAGGGAATGTTCCGAGGAGGCTTGTACTGTGACGTAGGCGAAGAAGCGTGAACATCATCTGGTCGGCTTATATGCTTTGCACATGGGTAGTTCCCTAGGTTCCCTTTTTAGGTACCCAATATAGTACGGCACCCTTATAGAAAGGACCCTCAAAGGAACCCTAATTTAGAGAACTACCCACATCCAAGTAAACGTTAGTTTTGTAGAGAGAGACGTTGCCAACTTCGCTGCAGGTAGTTTGTCTTGGCAGCTTTTCTGTCGTTTCTGACCAAAAAGGCTTCTCCAAGGCCTCTCATCTTTGCGGCAGATGATGGTTCACGATGGCATGTTAGTCTACACGTTGTGGAAAAATGTGCTTTCGTGCTGTTCGGAAGGTTTAGCGGCTCAATCATGGATCGAGAAAGCGGGACACGATGAATAATTCACTCACGGAGTCTATGGACATTTTTGCAACGCTTGTGGATTGCAGCATCGCGCTGCCTTGTTCAGTCAACTCGGATGCTTAACCGGACCACCACACATAGCGAAGCGCAATGGCACATGTGCCCGGGTTCCGCCGCAGCATCCGACTGTCAGCATGCTACCGTGTCTTGCAGGAGCGATACGGATATGTGAGACAGGGACTGGTTTGGCTTTGTTCATTTTCGGAGATCATGTCTGTGGCCGCAGTGCCCGCAGTCCATATGTCAACCTCCCCATTTTTTACCATCGCAGCTCTTTGTCTCATGTTTCTGCTCGCATGCTGGCGAGCCGGAAGTGTCTCGGACGTCATATGGCAACCCGCTCATTTGCTGCGGCCGAAGAATTACTCCAAATTTGGCTGCGGGGCAAAGCAGCGGTCCAGCCGGGTTTTCTTTGCTCTATCCATGGTGATTCGTTTGTCTTGCTCTGCAATCCTTGCCAGCCACATTTTCAACTGGATTGCCGATGACACCACCTGGCGATCATGCGAAGCCTTTTTCCTGCCATGGGCGGAATATACTCGTTCGGACATGCATTCAGATTCGAGCCTTTGTGTCGCTGACCCCCAGGTCAGCGAGTGGTGTGAAACTATCCATTTGTTTGAGAGCCGCTGTAACGATCCAGTTCGGTTGACATCCCTTCTCCACTACTACGCTTGGACCGGACTGGGCATGGAGTGCACCAACAACACAGGCGACATTAACGTCACAGCAGTCGCTGAGTACTTCCCCTGGTATCTTCCCTACTGTGAAACTCTCAACGGTACAGAAATCGGCTGCTACGCGCTGGAGGACGAGAGCCTGGAGGTCGGCGAGAAATTAATCATCTGGACAGATGACAAGGAAATCGGCTTGAATGAGGCGTACGAAGCATGGCCTCCAGCGCTGCGCGTCGTCTATAACTGTCAGATGTTCATTCATGACACCAACTACTGCCAACATACCTCGGACACTACGGCTGGGGCAACCGAATGGGATAGGCATTTGGGGCAGTCTTGTGAGGCCCATCGCTGTGTGGATACTCTACCGGATTGGCTGTACTTCTTGGATGATTTTGAGAAAAAGACGTACTGCAAATGCCGGCAATGCACACCCTGGTGGAGATTGAATGAGTGCACTTTGGAGGCAGTGGATACGGCCACGCGCCGGATCATGGGACATCAACTGTTATATGGACTTGATTGGGGTGAGGCCTTATCGGATCCACGATTTGGGGTGCTGTTTGCGTCTTGGACTTACTAGAGTCTAGAGGTTTTTTGACCTTCAACCCTAAACCCCTTCCGAGTTGTGAGAGCGTAAACCTTAAACCCTAAACCCTGGACTAGACCCTAAAGCCATATGTTTTCTAAACCCTAAGTCCCAAACTAAACCCCTAAAGCCATATGTTTTCTAAACCCTAAACCCTAAACTAAACCCCTAAAGCCGTAATATGTTTTCTAAACCCTAAACCCTA